CTTCCCTTCCCTTTCCTCCTCTTTGCAGATGTTGAACCTCTTTGTTGCTGTAATCATGGACAACTTTGAATACCTGACACGAGATTCTTCCATCCTAGGACCCCATCACCTCGATGAGTTTGTCCGTGTTTGGGCAGAATACGACCCAGCCGCCTGGTATGTATCTCCTCCGGGTCCCCCACCTCCACCCCCGCAAATGTTTCCTTTGCAAACCAAGGGAGCCACACAGCGCGGCCTTGGCAGAAAGGCGCCAGCTCCCCGGAGATGATTTCTTTTCTCTTTTTTTTGGGTGGAGTTGGATGAAATGCACCCAATTTCACAGAGACCGGAAATGTGGCTTTCTTGGATTATGACTCCCATGATCAGCGTAGTCATAGATTTGTAGTCCAAGAAAACAAAAAGCTTTCTCTCCTGTTTCTTACACAAAATACCTTGTAAAATCGCCTGGTGACATCGGAGGGTCATTTATCTTGGGAATAAATCCGTGTCGAGCTCAGATTCCTCAAAGAGAGGAGCGCTTTCTTAGGAGGTGACCTCGTCGATCAGGGCTTCCCAAGCTTGGATTCCCCAGAGGTTCTTGGACTGCAACTCCCAGAAGTCCTGGCCAGCACAGCCAGTGCTGAAGGCTTCTGGGAGTTGTAGTCCAAGCCCCTCTGGGGACCCATGGTTGGGAAGCCCTGCCTTCAATGAATGAGGCAGAATGCAGCCGTGGCCACAGGCAACGAACCTGGAGCATCATCATCATGCCAACAGAAAATCCTAAGGAGGCGTTATGATGGATCTGGAAGGGGAGGCCACCGGGAGTCGACCGAGGGCCTGTGGTTCTCTTGGACCTTCCTGCACTGCTCCTAGTTTCCCTATAGAATCCCAGAGACGGAATAGTAGTGTGGTGGATCCCGCTTGGAGACCACGTCAAAAACGCTTACAGGCTGGGCGTACAACAACTCCCAGAATCCCCAACCAGGTCTTGGCCAGTGGCTGGTCTTGTTTAATGGATCTTGACAGTGGTAGACCAGAAAGGTCCTTTTCCGGAGCTCTGCTTGTATGCGGATGAGCAAGAAAATATATTGATCTCTTTTAATGAAGCCATTTCCTTATTACAGCCTTTTTGGGGTTTTTTTAAAAGAATGTGTTGCATGTTTTCCAGCTTAGACCAGCCGAGGGCTTCAAGCTAAAAGCTGTGTGTTTTGTTTTGTTTTTTAAAACGTGGGTGTTAAGGAATGTTTTTTTCCAGAGCTCCTTCCCGGTTTTCTTCTCAGCAGTGAACTGACATGGAATTGTTATTGAACAAGAAAGAAATGTTTGCTTCTCTCACAGGTTATAAGACAAAACTTGCCACGGGTAAGATTGTGTTTCTTCCAGTATAAACCTGTCTGAAAATTGTCAGTTCATTTCCATGGAGGAAGCCACTTACCCAACCGAGGGTTGTAAATGCTTTGGACCATCCTCTTTAAACCTGCCTGGAACATTTTTAAACCCTGTGGAGAAACATGGTCTCCCCATCTTCACTTTCTGAGGGTTCAAGAGCATTCTCTTTTAGTGAAACAGAGAACATCCGTGGGGAGTAGTCCTCATGGCAAGCAGGTGAAAGGTAAAACATAAATATGGCAAATAAAACAGGCGAAATAAAAATGGCTAAAACCCAGTAGTAAGTTGCAAATAGAGTAGGCCTGTTGAAGAAGTGGGACTTGTGGAGCAGTCAGCTCCCTGAACCTCCACCCATTCGTTGGGTCTACTCTAGCTGTGACACTGTGAGATTAAGACAGCAAGCATCCTCACACACATCTTAAGTGTCCACATTGTGTGTAAAATGCCTGCATTAAAACTAGTGTTTTCTTCCTCTATGAAGAAGCTAAGGACACTCAGAGAGAGAGAGAGAGAGAGAGAGAGAGAGAGAGGCAGACAAAGGTAGAGCTGATTAATTTTTTAAAAGTCTAAAGCAATCCATCCTGTGCTTCGGATTTCAATAAGACAGTAGCTATGCTAGTTTTGCCCGGTTGTGCAGTCCTACAGTTTTCACAAAATTTGTGTCACACACATGCAGGTTCTCACCTAAGGACACTCAGAGAGAGAGAGAGAGAGAGAGAGAGAGAGAGAGGCAGACAAAGGTAGAGCTGATTAATTTTTTAAAAGTCTAAAGCAATCCATCCTGTGCTTCGGATTTCAATAAGACAGTAGCTATGCTAGTTTTGCCCGGTTGTGCAGTCCTACAGTTTTCACAAAATTTGTGTCACACACATGCAGGTTCTCACTGAGAATAACATAGAGAACTTTTCCACCTCATAGACAAGGGGCCGGGGGGGGGGAATTGAT